GAAATTAATGTCTAATGAGGTCATTTATTGTAAAATTCATATCTTACTGTTATTACTTCCTTTTTTTGATTATCGATCAACCGAAAAGGCGTGGTTATGACACAATATATAGAACATTTCTCACGATACATGTACATGAACGTTTTTCAAAAGTCATATGTCGCGATGGTCGTGTCATGTATGTTTCCTATGAACCACATGAACTACGCGATTTCATACTCTGCCAAATAAATTCCCACCAAATCTCATGTTTAATCAATTAGGCGCGGTGCATGGCTTGACCCGTGATATCAAACAGCGGGCAATGCGAGTTCTTGCCTATTGGCTTCGCCGAACAGTGATCGAATGATAGCTATGCAAATTGGTTGCACCCAATCGCAAATGGATATTAAAGTACACATAGTGCGTAGTCCACGCCACGATTTTTTCCCCAGTCCCTTGGTGCCAGAGAAATTCTGGGAGAATTTGGGAGGCCACTTTAAAGATGTGGATTGAACTTTTAAGAATTTTTAATACTAAATGATAATGAATTAAAAATTTGCTTCTTAGGTACGCTTTGATAAAATTGAAGGTAAAAGTTTTCTCAACAAAATCGAATTTTTGATGGCCTCACTAAATAGTAATAATGCGTCATGAGAATTAGAAATTGTAATCCAATTCAAGAAATAAAGTCTCATAATATTATTAGTCAAATATAAATAGACGGAGACTGTTTAATGAATATGAAAGATGAGAATAACAAACCGAGAATGGCTGAAAGCCCAGGTTCCCACAACAAATGCTCTCAAAATGTTCTCCCTTAACTCACAGGTGGAAGACATCTCCGCATTTTGATTGGAAGAACTTTTACATATCCTTAAAACAAAAAAGAAATCTACAGCAGCGGATCATGACGGTATCAAATACGAAATGGTAAATGTTCTTTTTGTTTCAAGCCTTTCAGCTCTGCTGTCTGCGATAAATGATCGCCGGATGACTAACTCTTTTTCTACAGATTGGCGTACAATTAAAATTGTACCCATTTCTAAAGGTGGAAAAGATCTTGAAAACTTTACAAATTTCAGGCCTACATCCCTCCTGACTCTGGTTTTAGAAATCACAAACCAAATGAAAATTAAGAAAGACTCACTAAATTTCTGCACAACTCACAACTGCTTCCCTCTAGATCGTATGCTTATCAGAAACACATTTCCACCAGTATTTATCCTAATGAGGTTCTTTTCACCATAGCAAGTGAGAAAGCAAATGGTAAGCAGGTAGTTATGTTTAATTTAGACATCAATAAAGCGTATGACTGTGTAGATCTAGGGAAATTAGGTCAAATTCTAATTGATATTAAAATACCGTCACATTGTAGGCTGTGGATTCTAAATTTCCTTTTTCCGCGAACTCTTGTGATGGGCTCAAATTCAGTTGAAGTTTGTGGAGGTCTACTTCGAGGTAGCTGTCTCAGTCCACTACTTTTTAATATATACACAGCCGGCTTACATCTATTACAGGACAAGACAACCCATTTATTTCAATATGCTGATGATCTCTTAATTATTTCTGCTGGAAAATTGTTAGTAGAAGCAGTTTATAATCTTAATAGCAAATCCAATCGTTTCTACAAAGATTGCGCAGATTTAAATTTATTTTTCAAACCTGAATAATCAAAAGTCATTCGTTTTGCTAAGACTTCTAAAAAAATTTTCCACATCACAGTTAACAGCACAAACATCAAACAATCTTCCCCCACTAAATTTCTAGGTAGAATAATTAACTCAAGTTTGACCCGTCGTGACCATTACCGAGACAATCTTGAAAATTGCTACACAGACTCAAATGTTATCAAACTTTTAACCAATTTAAAAAACGGACTCCCACCAAAGAAAGCTTTAAATGTCTACAAATCTATTGTCCGTTCGGAAATTCATACTCCACATCGTCCGATTCCTCTGCGTATACAATTAAAAAAATTCAAACCCTTCAACACTCAATTCTAAGACGCTGTACTGGTCTGTCGAGCGAGACTGAATTTGGTGCTATTTGAGAATATAAAAATATGGGATGTTATGGTCTGGGGTAAGACGTAATGCAAAACAAAATGAACACGTTTTCTGCCGAACATCATTTTTTTAAACTCAAATAAACGAACAATTTTACTGCTACGTTTCCTGCTTTGCAGAATTTTTTAATTGATATGCCTAAAGCGAAATCGCTTGAAACATTTGAATGGCCCCAAATTAGGTTCCTTACAATCGCTGAAAGAACAAGAGCACCTTAGAAAATACACAGTTTGCTTGGAATACTGTCTTTTTACAGAGATGCAGCTTCATGGGCACCATCGGTTTGCTTCAATTTCTTGAAGCAATTTCCTCTCACATTGAAAAGCATTATGCGTCACGAGGATAGCCCGTTTATAATGAACGAATTTTGCTTCAATTCTAAGACTGGGCGTATTTCATACGAGTGCTTCACAAATGGAAAATGCTCTTTTCCACCTGAATGGTATATGCACCGGGTAAATGAGTCAATGAGAGAGGCGTGGCTTCGGTTAGCGATCGTTTATAACAAACAACGGCAAATGGACACGATGGCAAAATATAAATAGCACGTTCTAAGGAGTCGGCGAATATAGAATGAAGACAGACCATCAACGGTAATAAAATTGTTGTCAGATATCTTTATTTGTTTTTTTCTCTATATTTTGCCAACATTGTTGTAGCTTGTGAATAAATGCATCAATTTCTGGTAGTTTCAAACAGCAACAGTCAAATAAGCACAATCAAGATTACTTTCATGAGATCCCCAATCTACAAACAATAGAAAATTCAAAGAATATTATTATGCAGACAGATTTCTTATGCTAACTATACTAACCGGCGAATTCAAATCCATCTATACATTTATTGCAACCTTTTGTTACTATTCGAGTTCCGGAAACACCGCGTGTGAAAAGCATAGAGCCCAATTCTGTAGCCACATCAGTAGACAACGTCTTTAATTCGAAAGCCAACGAGATTGGGTTAGCTTTGGCTCTTATTACGCGGCAATGATGTTTCTTAGCAAATTTCTCCAGTTGCTTTTGCAATTATACGAAATTTAATTTACACTTATTAACTAAATCTTGATAGGCAATTTTACCTAAGCATAATAGTGTATTGTGTGTAAAAGTATTGTGATTGAGAAGAAGACAGTGCTTGAGAAGAAGAAGACCGACCTACGTTAAAAAAGAATTGTATTAATGTAATTTCAATCCATGACTATTTAATACCTGCATAGGCTTTTGCTACAGTGTGGACTGACGACTCTTCAAATCCCGCAACAATTGCTCCTCCTACAGGTACCATAAAATTTTTATCTGTACTTTGCACAAAAAGATCCACCCGTCCCGCGCTATTTGCCTGTTTAAGCTGATGGGTCAAGTAGGTGCTCTGAAGACCATAAGCGTTATTCACTACATGCGGTATGTCAAATTTGGCAGCTAAACCGGCTAAGCTAATGATACCATCACAGTTACGAGGGCCGAAGCAACTTGTTGTTGACATTATACATAATATTTCTTCACGATCTATGCATGAGAGATTCTCTTCAAATTTTTCAAGATCAGTGAATAAACCATCTTGTTCATCTCTTTTAACCGTGTCTATTATAATAGGTGTTAAACCGGCAGTGGTAATGCTTTTAAAGCATGATTTTTGATCAATCCTGGACCATAGGACGTACTTAGCCGGGGGCCTACGCTTTTTTAAGCTTAATAAACATAACGTTAAAGTCATACCGGTAGCCATTGGTGCTATAAAACACGATTTAACTGACTTAATACCTTGCAGGCGCATTACATCTAGTACGAGAGCGTTGCTTAATTGTGCCACGATAGTTGAACCTACTGCTTTCGGTTGAGCGTCTAATAAGTCACCTGAACGCCCAATGCCGTGTCCAAAGCCATAATTTCTGTTAATTACTAATTCTTCAAAGATAATAATCAATTTTTTTCAAATTTTGACCCCATGACTGAAATTTTCTTACTGCTTGCCATGCGAGCCTCCCTTTCACCCAAACCAATTTTATGCTCAAAATTATTGTTATCGAGCGCAGCCAATTGCTGAATAACATATTCTATTAGTTCCTCCGTCCAGCCCACATCAGGCAATTTACGCTAAACCTCAACAAAGTAAAATTTATAAGATAATTTACAATCTTTCACGAAACATTTAAAATTACCTTTTCCAGCAGCTCTTTTATTTGTATTTCTTTACATCTTTGGGCCTCTGAGGCTAATTTTAAATAATATCCGGCACCAATTTGTGATGCAATTTTAAATTATTTAAATTCATGTTTATTTTGATAGCAATAAAATAGTAAAAATATACACTTCTTTTAATATTTTTTTTAACAACTATGAAGTTTCTAAGGGAGGAAACAGTTAGAATTGGAACATTCTCATTTTTCATCTTATAAAAGCTGCCAAGTTCCAAATGCAAACATAATCAATTTAATGAGACTAACTAATTGCATTAATTCATAGATAATGTTTAAAAAAAGAAGCTCAGTAGGAGAAATGTAAAAAATTGGATATAATTTTTTACAGAAACATTATCCCTATTAGCATTGTAAAACAAAAGAAATAATTATAAAAAAGTGATGTATGAAAGTAAATGCACTTTTTTCATACATTTTTTGTAGCATGATACAAACTCTCATTGAAATCATAAATAGTATTATCCGGTAGGTGTATTTGCTTAAAAAGGAATACAGGAATTAATAGTTACGTTAAACGTTTTCCTAAGGTTTACTTAAACGATTTATTAAATTACTAAATTTTATGCCCATTTTACATAATTATTGCAAGGACGGCTCATTGTAAGGGTAAGGATTGTGAATAATGATTTTCGTTTTACCTTGTTTCTAGTTCTTCCTCTCTGTTTTTGTGTCGTGGTTTTTCTTTATTTCAGTTTTTATTCTATGTCATAAATTTATTTTTCAGTAAATTTATCAAATTATACCTATTGTACTAATGTTTTTTTTTAAAAACCCATCGCTTTATAACACTTACACAATCATGATAGTAGTAACAATAATAATTAGTTCTATTCCAATATCGCTGCATTTCGTACGCAAATGCATTTAGGTGCATTTGATCTTTTTCCAATATCAGTTCACATCAGCACTTCTGCTTAGAAGCACATTTTTTCTTCCATTTACTAGTTAGAATTTGTTGTTAGTATAAGAGAAAAAAATTTTTTTGAAAAGTCGAATTTTCTTCCTTGTAAATTTTAGTCATCTCTTCTTTTTTCTTCCGAGGATGATGAAGCTCATATTACCAGAGCTTATGTTTGTTTTTGCCATTGCTATTATCGCTCAGAGGTAAGTAAAAATAATGTGAGAGCGAAAATATTTTTTTTTTTTTTAATATTACGATTTTTGAAATGTTTTGGGCTCTGAGGCGTTCCTGATTCATTCGTTTTTTTATAAAAAAATTTATTTGTATTTGCATGTATATACATTTGTTTTAGATATTGTGGGCACAAAATTTTGGCGGCAAATAAAAATTGTTGTTTTTGTAGAGAAAAGAATAAACTAGAACAAAATGCACTCACACATTTACAATTTCGTAAAAGCGGAGTGTGTGTGAAAATAAGTGAAAAATAAAAAGTGTTAAGCGGCGAACAAAAAGAAATTGGAAAAAAGATTTTTTCTTATAAAACTTATTAGCCAGAAATTAAAACGGAAATAATAATTCCATCCGATTACGGTAAGGAATTTATTCAGGTTAAGTAAACCACGAAAACGGGAAATAGAAGTGTTAAAAGTTAAAAAGATTCGTAAAAGAAGTTCATAAACGATCCATAAAATATATATATTTATGCATATATATGAAAAAGTGAAAAAAATATAAAAACAGCCAGTTTTGTTCGTTTTAACGAGCAAAGCCATCTTGAGCAATGTGTACACTCTCACTTGTTAAAAATATAATTTTTAAACATTGAAAAGGAACTGAATTAATCACAAACACAACAATTGCGTCATGACGCAGTTGAAAACGTAGCTTATGTGCTTTGCTGAAGAAGAATCGTATAGTTAACGTTTAAAATGAAAAACTAAGAAAGTGGACAACTTCTTTGAACAATGACTTTTGTCAGGGAAAATACTATTAATAAAACGAAAAAAAATTTGTACCTTGTAGAGGCGGAAAGCAGAGAGTTTATGTAATAGGCACAGGCATTGGAGTATAAAATATAAAAATAAAAAAAAGTAGTTATTTGTAAGAGAAAAAAAAAAAGAAAGAAATATTTGAGTTTTCTTGGGGGAAAGAGAAAAAAAATTTGGGCAGTTGAGGGATTGAGTTTTTCGAACGATTTGTCAGTTTTTGGAAAATTTGAAACTTGGTTTTTCCTTACATTTTTAAGGAGAACTATCATTTCATTTAAATTTTTTTCAAAAGTAAATAAAAAAAAAAGGAAAAATAACAGGAATTTCTTGCGAATGACCTTTTCTATTATAAATCTGAGTATCCTTTGTTAAGTGATGTTAATTGAAAATAATTTTCTTCTAAAAAAAAAGCAAAAAAATATGAATGTCCTTGAATCGTGATACTTTTTTTTTAGATTTTAAATTAATTTAATTATATTTAACTTAAATAATTTCGTTTGGTTGTTTTTTCTTTTGTTTTTTTTTGGAAAAATAGAAAAAATGTATTATTATTAAAAGTATTGAATAACTGGTGAGACTTCCTGGAGGGTGACTGAGGGGTGAGGGAACGGCGGTATTGATAGGACATTTTTCCGGGAAAAAATTTCAAATTAGAAATAAGCAAAATAATGAATCAATTGTAGCGTAACAAATAAATTATCATGAAACTAATTACAATTTCTTTTACCCATCCCATCTGACGAGCCAGGCCGGAAAACATGCGATAGTTTCATGATATATAAAAAAAAATATTTACATCCTTGCAAAGCTTTAACAACAAATACGGTACATTCAAATTTATTTTTTGTTTTTAAGAAAAATGTAAACAAGCACTTTAAAATCATATTTTGCTTGAAACGTGTAACATGTGATTATGTTTTGTTTTGTTTGTCAAAAGCGATTTGCCAAAATTTTGCGTCCACTTACAACGCAACGCCTGCTATATGTTTATCCCAATTTAAATATACACAATCAATAATCCTTACAACTTATATTACTCTACTCATAATTTTAATTGATTCGATTTTGAAACCCTAGCGTTAATCCAAATGATGGTATAATACGTTACCCCGATTGTCATGGATGTGAGTTGATCGATTTAAAAGCTGTCAACTCTGATTTCAATATTAGAGAAGATGTCGTCAATGCTTTTCACACATCTAACTGTTGGTTCGCATTTTGGAAACGTAAGGTTCGTTGTACAGTTTAGTTTTTTAGTAAATTTACATATAAAGTTAATAATGATTTGTCTATAAAGATTGATAAACGAATTTTTAATCCTTGGCAATCCAACATTGTTTTCGATATTTGTATTGATCATTATTTGAGTGACGTACACGAATTTGCTCCTCCGGTTATCAATGGCGGAACGAGTAATTCTAACAAGGCAGAAAATACATGCATGGTTATTCTTTGCGGCGCAATAATAGCAGCAGCGGCGGCAATACTTTTTATGGAAAGCAAAAACCATAGACCGTTAACCAACGCTACTTCACAAACGCAACCAAGATTAAAACCAATTAAACGAATAGGAAGGGGCACATATGGCTGCGTTTATGAAGTTGAAGATACGGAAGATAAAAAACGATATGCTCTTAAGTGCATTGAATTACCCGAAGATAAGGAAGAAGCGCAAAAATATATGCGAGAAGCATACAATTTAGCTCAATTAAGAGGTCATAAGAATATTGTAAAATATATTCATGTAAGTTTATAAAAAAGTCAGCAAGTTTTTCTCAAAATTGTTAAAATTCATTTTTATTTTCATAGAGTGAAAGAAGTGAAAAACATTTGAACATATTGATGGAGCTTTGTGACACGAACCTAGCTTCTTGGTTAAAGAAATACAGGATGAAATTAAACGCTAACAATATATCAAAGATTTTCCACCAACTAGTCGATGCTATTTATTATATTCACTCTAATGGCATAATACATCGTGATTTGAAGCCCGAAAATATTTTTGTAAACGAAGAAGTTGAAGATATTCATATAAAAATTGGAGATTTCGGTTTCTCAACCGAAAACAAAGATCTTCATTCTGGGGTTAAGGGCACAACGGCATATATGTCGCCCGAGCAATTGCGTGGACAACGGGATTACACTTTCAAAGTAGATATATACGCAATAGGCTTGGTACTCTTTGAATTATACGAAGATATTAGAACAGACAATGTGATTAATTTACTACGTAAAGGCATATTTCCTAATACTTTTGATCGCAGACATCCTGAAGTGTACGAGTTGCTGAAAAAGATGTTGGCAGAAAATCCAAAACTACGTCCAAATGCACAGGATTTAATAAATATATTAAAAACAATGAATTTTTAATATGATTGATGATGATCAATGTTTTATGTAATATTTTATTTTTTAATACGAATTATTATAAATATATGTTAATATATGTTAATACCGTTATCGATATTCACTAATTCCAAAGAGAAGTTTTTAATCAAGTTACACATGGGCCTTGATATTCATTAGTATTTAAAGCGTAGAATAGATCACCGACATAAAATTCTTTTTATTTTTAGAAGTCGCTTATGAGAATCGCAAAACCCTTTTATCAAATTTTTATTTGGAATCTATAACTACTTAACGATATAAAGAACATTTTTTTATTTTATGTTTTGTAATGTGAGATGATGCGATGAGAGATTTGCATAAAATTCGTCTTTAGTGTTTTGCTATCTTCGCGACTTCAGAACACCAATGATTGTCAATGATTCTCGGCAAGAGAACAGAAATGCAAATTACCGCGTTTTGAAGTGCAGAGCGCATTTTGTCGTATTTTTATTGTCATGTATTCATTCTTTAGCTTAAATTTTCAATAATTGAAGCGATGCTTCTGATTTTTCAAATAATTTTTAAATAAATTGAGATATTAAAATCATATTTGCTTTAAAAATTTTCAAGCGGAATCTAATCCAAATCTTGTTGAAGTGTGCTCATAATCATTGCAAATATTAATACGCCCTTTGATGTGAAACATTACAATTGTTACAATTTTTGGCATAACACGCATTGGGGACATTTTCAACGGGTGGCAATTCTATAAAGTATTGGATTTATTGCATATCCGTGTGTAGTCTAGTTTGCATTTATACATGTTGCAGATGATTCGCCCTTAATTTCAACGTAGGAACTTACATTGTAAAGGAAGAAGTCAGTTATATAAATACTGTCAAATGCAGCAGCAAATACTTAATTAAAGACTTTACGGTAACCATGCTGTGTGGTGTAATACGTCGTGAAAGAACGTTGGCAACCCTTGACGTTCTAGTTATTTGTAGCTTTTAACGCGAACCTTGCAAACGCAACTAACGTTTATTTTTAATTAATTGGACGGATATATTTTTAAAAATCAAGAAATTTTAGATTTCTTAATAACAATACGGCGCGTTTAGTTTTCTTAAATAAAGTGAAAAAAAAACACTTCCGTTTTTAATCAAATACAAATTAAAGTGATGCCCGCAAGAGCAGCATCAGCTTTACGGTTACGTTTATTGATGGATGCTCCAAAGTATAAAAACAACGCATTTAATAAAGCATTCCAAATTTGTGTCTCATGGTTCCTACATCTTGCTGTGGTGTAGTTTAAAATTGTGCTTTATTTATTTATTTTTTTTTCTATTTTTGGCTACCTCGGCGAACATTTTTCATTTTCGTGAACCGCAAGTTCGTGGTAATTATCAAACATTCTCCTCTTAAAGAACTATGGGCATTCAAAATGATTTGAAAGTCATAAGCAATTATAGGAAAACGCTTTTTCAATTCGCTGTGCTTACTTCAATAGCTATCGCTGCCGCGGCTTCTACAATTAATCCACCAGTGATGCGATTAGCAGTCGGAAATATTTTGGCCGAAGCTAATGCTAAGACTTTAGTGGAAAATCAGCAGCGTCCTGCTATACCGTATTGTAACGATGAAAAGCATGAACGCACTATTGGCCAAAGGTAAGTGAAGGCGCTGAAGGCAAACATATTCTTATATCTTTTTGTTTGTTTTATAATCGTACCGTTGATCGAATGTTCTGGACTTTTTGTTTTAGTTATTTAATGTATTTTTCAAGGTATTAGCTTAAGTATTATATTGTTGGCATACATTTTTATTTCATATTGTGTGCGTTTGTTGTTTATCACGTTTGATAAACACACGTAAAACATATGCATAAAATTTTTCGACTGCATACGTATTACAATGTTTTAAGTAAATAATTAAAGGTTTGGTTAAAAAAAAAAAGATTTAATAATTCGTAATCAGAAAAAGTACAAGCGTAATACTTGATAAAATTCAAATCGAAAGAATTGCACTTTTTTTTATAATTAGAAGACTTTATTACGAAATTACTATCAAAGTGTAGTTCAACCTACATCTTTAAGGAACCTAGAGAATTATCTTTTTTGTTTTTCTTAACGCCGTTAAAAGCATTTGGTTATGAGTCATAACTTATATTAACAAAAATACCAATCTCTCCTCATATTTTTACGGGCTCTATTATCACGTTTTTCTTTTCTTTTTTTTTTTTTCGTCATAACACTCGTTAGTATTTTGTTTAGCGATATGAGAGTAAATGCATGCAATCAATGAAATTAATTATTGAGAAATGTATCAATCGTTTGTTTAATATGAGAAATTTTATGTTGCATGTTTACATGTTGTTTCGCACTTTTCGTATATTATATAAGTGAATGATTCCCGCCAAATTGATGAAAAGAACTGCTTTAAATTGTAGCTGCTTGTTCCCCAACACTAACACTAGCTTGATCATGAGATATTAATGTGTCCATAAAGCTTAACCAACTGCAAAAGTACACATCAGTGCAATTGTATACGAAAAAGATAAAAACTTTGTAGAGAAAACCAACTTGTGTGTGCGAATAATACTCATATATATAGGTGCGAATTTATTTGTGCATTCTCGTATTTATATGTGGAACAAGTTGTTCGGATACATATTTAAGACATTATCAAATGCAGCCTTTTATCATCTTTTAATGTGCGGTTTCCGAATAGAACTAGAATTTAAAATATGATTCTTTGTCTTAAAAAGCAGTCAAAAAAAAAAAACATTGTGAAACATGTTTGTGACTCTGGTTCATTCGCATTGTGCCCCTTCCAATTTCAGTATAAAGTGCAGGCAGTCCAGGTCAGTATAACATTTTAACCGAGCCCTTCTTTCTGTTGGCAACAATCGAAAAACTAACCAAGTAAGAACATTATAGTAGGCCGATCATTAAATACCCTACATCACATTGTCTAACACAATTCTTATTTTATAAAAATCATATCTTGTTTCTACATAAAGGCATACTTTTCATGTGCGTATTCATAGGGGAACAGGCCCAAAACGCAAATTTATGTTTAATGTAAATTTAATTCTTACAAAGGGCAGGACACAAAATTCTCCAAATTTTGTAGAGTTCATTTTTGTATGAAATTACTTATATGAGTCGTCGGAAAAGTGAACCGTTCCGAATCATTCTGAATAGCGTTTGTACGTGTGTCAAAATTCATCACTGTACTAAATTTCGTTGACGTATCTCAACAATTTCGACCGGTAACTTGAACAAAAATTTACATGGACACAAAACAGGCGAACAAGCAGGCCTAGATCAATTAGATTATTAGAATAGATTACTATTCTCAATCGATCAGTGCAATAAAAAGTGGGTCTATCTTAAGCCCTTCTGCGTGTTTCATACGACCGCACTAAGTTAATATAGCTCAACGAACGTAGGGAATAAAAAAAAACGAGCTGGAATTTCATCCTTATATACTTCACATACTTGACTAAGGATCAAATTTGAAAATGAAAGTGATTCGTCCATTGTCCCGTGAGCAATAGTTATATCTTTCAGTTCATAGCAGCTGTTGATCTTCACTGAATATGCAGCACAAAAATGAACTCGATCGTCTATATGCCGCCAATTAAAAAAGCATCTTTTTCGTTGGGTCAGCTTTTTAATACTATAAATTTTCTTGGCATCTTAGCACAAATACATTTTCTGAAAATATAAACCAAATATTCTTTTTTGTTTCACTATTATTCACTGTTGGCTTGAAGCGTGGTTTGTTTGCGAAGCAGCCTGCTTCCTTTTTATCCATTGAACGGCCAAAAAATCATATAGTATAACCTTCTATCCCAAATATGAAATACATATTTTAAGACATAACTGTTCTTAGTTTCAATTAATGAAAATCTATTCTATTTTCAGATTACTTTACGTTACCACTCTGGACGGACGTTTATCGGCTTTGGATATTATAAAGGGTGGTAAATTACGTTGGAGCATAACTACCGAACCAGGACCATTGATATCGTCGAGTATACATCGTTTGGAATTAACCAACAATGGTCGATTTGTTCGTATGATACCGTCGTTAAGTGGCGGTATTTATAAATTTGATGGTGAATCAATTGATCCGATACCTATCACAACCGACAATTTGTTGTCGTCGTCGGCTAAATTCTCAGACGATTTGGTAATATCTGGCGGTAAAGAAACTCGTACTTATGGTGTTTCAGCTCGTACTGGAAAATTATTGTACGAATGTTCGATGAACGGTTGCATTAATTCGACGGAAGCCGAATTGAATAACTCAACGCGACCCCAGTATGTGAACAAAAAGGAAGACGATTTTACTGAAAATGAATCGAACGAAGATTATTTAAAGGAACATGATCCGCTCTTAGACGATGTAATTGTAGTGCGTCGTTTAACGCAAACAGTACGCGCGATTGAAACGCGTAGCGGTTTAGAACGTTGGAATTTTAGTGTGGGTCAGCATGAATTGGATTTGATACGTTCACCGGGTTGCCATGAACGGGAATATAGTGATTTAGAAAGGGCAATTATTGATTTAGATATTAAAATTATCGTACCCGAGGGCATTATTTGCGCTTTTAGCAAATCCAATCCCAGTTCTATGTTATGGAAGCATAAGGTTTGTTTTACGCTTTAGTGTTTGTAGGAAATTATTAAACAATTTTTTAAATAGTTTAATCATCCAATTGTTAGTGCTTGGAAGCTCGGCTTAGATGATCATTTAGAGGCTGTGGATATGTTCGGTTCGGCTCGATGGCTATGGGATCGTGAAGAGGAAATTTATGACCTGCCACTGCCTACTACCAATCCTTCCATATATTTGGGCATGTATGAAAAACAGCTGTATATCCAGGAATCTGTCAATTTGCGTAAAGAAATAATGGATCAATCCAGTTTGTATGCACACCTCACGGCTGAATCCCATATGCCGAAAATACCATGGCGTCCTGTAGCCGCCAGTGGCAACGCATTAATTATCTTTCAGGAGTTGGATGATACACGTATCGTTGATGGCGAGCGTAATAGCGAGGCCAATGAACTAGTACCGTATGATGATGACAGCGTTGCTCTTTCTGCTCAGTCAGTACTTAATGCGTCCGAATATGTAAATGGCAATGGTTTCTATTTGTATACCAGTAATGATATATGCCAAGGAACTATTGATAACGCGAACAATACCAACAAGGAAGATTTGCTTGCATTGGAAGATGCCAAGCGCGATAATCTTACGGGAAATGAAATTTCCAAAGTTAATGATTATAATTTCGATTTTCACGATGTGGAAACTTTGCGATTTTGGTGGAAAGAAATTATAGTTATGATCTTTACGTCTGCTGTGTTGTTAAATTTTCTGGTAGGTCAGCGCAGTCGGGGAGAACGAGAAATTGTAGTAATTGAACGTCATATACCCGTACCAACAGCCATAGAGGCAACTGAATCTTCTACGGTTGCTCTCTTGGGTCCTGCAACATCTAACAGTGCCAATTCGAAAAGTAACAGCAACAATAAACGCAGTCTTTCGGAGTCGACTTCAAATTCTGGAGAAAATTTCTCTTCGCGTTTTCAAAGCGATTTTGACATGATGAGATGTTTGGGTCGCGGAGGTTTTGGAGTAGTATTTGAAGCCAAAAATAAATTGGATGATTGTCGATATGCTATTAAACGTATCACTTTACCAAATAAGGAAGAGTCGCGAGTCCGTGTTATGCGTGAAGTAAAAACTTTAGCCAATTGTGAGCATCAAAATATTGTGCGATATTTTCAGGTAAGTTAAGAAAATAATTTTCTCAAAAAAATCAGTCTTTTATATATTATATTTTAATAGTCATGGGTTGAAAAACCACCACCCGGTTGGCAGGAAGAGGAGGATAGCAAATGGTTGGCTAATGAGTTTTCTACGTCGATACAAATTGAAACGCCCACAACTGAAACGTATTCCGCCAATTTTATGCATCTTAATGGTTGTCAGAAAATTGATAAAAAGACACAATTACAACATTGGATGGAAAGTGCGACAAGTACTGCCTGCAGTTCTGATCATGAAGAATATTTCAATGGCAAAGACAATAAGTTTGCTCATGGTGATCATGCTGACAACGACGAATCATATATAGTATTCCGTTCCGATTCGCATTCTCTATCTATGCAAAGCAATCACCGCAATAACGATGAGTCTACTGAGGAGGACGATAAGTCTTCTGGTAATTGTACACAAGTTGGCTTTAGAAAATCGCAAAACTCTCTTGTTGCGATTGATATTCACACGAGTGGAAAACATATTGATTATTCGCAATTATCGGATTCGTTTCAAATCGAATTTGTACGTTCTTCCAATGCAACTAATTCAGAAGGCATTCAAAACGAAGAGGAGAATTACGTAGATAATAAAGCCTGTCGTCGCCGGCCACGTTATCTGTCCTTGGATATTAGCGACGGCACAAATAATTGCAGAGAACTAATGCCAATGACATCCAAGCCATTGCAGAATAAAGTTTATTTATACATACAAATGCAATTGTGCCGTAAGGAGAGCTTACGCGATTGGCTAAGAGACAACAAAACGGAACACCGTGCTGATTACATATCTAGTATTTTTCATCAGATAGTAGATGCTGTGGATTATGTTCATTTTAAAGGTCTAATCCATCGTGATCTTAAGCCCAGCAATATTTTCTTCTCCCAGGAAGGTCAAATAAAAATTGGCGATTTCGGTTTAGTCACTGATATGGCTGATATACCGAATATGATAACAAAATGCGGCGATAAAACGGGTCTACCATCATGCGCTCGTCATACCCAACAAGTGGGTACACATTTATATATGTCGCCCGAACAATTACATGGTTTACCTTATGACTACAAAGTCGATATTTATTCGTTGGGTTTAATATTCTTTGAATTATTGGTATACTTCGGTACCGAAATGGAACGGATCAAAACTTTAAGATCATTACGTGATGGCGTTTATCCTGATGAGTTTGCTGAAAAACATACTAAAGAATACTCATTGTTGCGGAGGATGTTATCATCCACATCAGAAGTACGGCCTGCCACAAAAGAATTGAAAATGCAATTAAGCGAAATTTTAAAGATACCCGACTTAACGGGAGATGGAGAAGCAGCCGCTTTAGCAGCTGCCGCTAAGCGTTTAAGCCGTTCACGTACATTTAGTAGCTGTGACTAAACCTCCCATAGTTTCTAATTAATAATAATAATGTTAAGCAATGAAGACTTTCAATAATGAGATCTAAGAAAAGTTTTTACATTCATTATATATGTACAATTATTGTTGCATTACTAATCAGGTCATTCAAAAACGGAATATTTTTATTCGTTCTTGAGCCATTTTTGCTTAATTCTAAAGCACTTTTCATTCGAAAATTTGTTTCACAAGTTTCACAAGCCGAAAATAAACCTCTGGTTAATTATTTCATAACGCGTTATAACAAAAATGACATTTGTTTCTCAATTATTTGTTATTTAATATCTTTTTAATTCGTTTATTGCGTGCGTATATTTTTTCTTAATTAAAATTCATTTAAAATTAAAATTTTCCTTTTTTTTTTTTTTCTTTTGTCTGCATTGTGTTAGATATTTTTATTCAGAACGCAATAGAACTGATCACTAAATCCTTGTTTATATATCTTAAGTTTGAATTCCTTGTTAAGCATATGAATAAGAAATAGACAGTGTTTTTATATAATAAGTTTAGATAATAAAATAATAATAAAAATTAAATTTATGAATAAAAAAATTGTGAAGTTTTGTAAATGGTCGAGTAGGCAAAGAGTCTTGATTAAAAACTCAATGATCGTGGTCCCATATGTTAAGTGCGATAGAGTTTTCATAAAATTCGCTAGCCTCAGATGCTAGCGCTTTAGGACTTTAGTCTTAGAAGTTATTTCTTTATTCTCTCTATCTATTTGTGGTAATGAAACGAGTATTTTAGCTGGGATGTAATTCTTCAGAGTTCCAGCTGATCCGTTCCAAGAATATTTGTAACGTCCCAGAAATGGAAAAACTGGACTTCCGATATAACTTGGTTGGTATTATTGCTTCTTTATAAGCAAAAATTCTCTTTCCTACGTCTAAGCGTTCATAAAATTACAGGCTGGTACAATATATACAGCAGGGTAAGATATAAAAATCTAAGAAAAGGAGACCAGCACGGCAGGCGCAATCAAACGGTATGTCGCGACTTGTTTTCCTAATCGGTTACGAAATTTCGCGGTTCTACTAGGTTTACTCACTGTGGATTAGAACGTTGTGCTGCAGTAGTGGCAATGGCAACTCCCTAAAGTAAAGGAGCCCCATGCATTCTAGTCTATTTCTCAAGGAAGTTCCAGCGTAATGTGAAAGGAACCCATTGAGTTGCTAGTCGATATTCTTTACCTTCGGCCACTTAGTCGGATCAACTTATTTTAATTATAAATTTTACTTGATACGTATTCATTACTTATATCCATATAAAAAATATAAGAGTTATTAACGGATTCAATGGATTTTAAAATAAATGAATATCTTGTATTAATATAAATAAAAAAGTGAATGACGAATAAATAGTTTTGTCAAATTTAGAGATAATTTCATGCAATTTACGATAGTTCAACCTAAAGGTAAAATTCATGCACCTCGCGGCAGTGTATATTAAAAAGCTAGTTAGGCTTGTTATTTCATACAATTTCTCTGTGCGAGGGAAAATATTTACTGAAGTGAAGATAGACTCCCAAGATAACCCACATTTTTATGGTTCGTTTCCTCGCTGAGATGTCTTTGCTAAGTTACAATTTATTGCGAAATAAATGACAATAAAGTAAAATAAGTATTAAAATCAAATAATCTTAGCAAACGTGCACATATAAAACATACTAAGTCGCTAATGGCGAACGCAAAACCAAAAATGCTTAGTTATTGCTAGTAAATCTCATGCAAAAGTACGTTGCAAATAGAATGCAATGTTAAAATCGTGTTATAATCATTTTTAATCTACAGATTTTTGATATGTCGTGAAAAATTCTAAAACCTATCAGAAAAATCTAATTTCATTACACTGTTTAGGGGACATCACCTCGAAATTCGCTAAAAACCGCCTCTCTCTATATGCCCAAAACACTAAATTAGGGATAAAAAATTTTTAGGAAATTTTCCTATCGCAGATTTTTGCTCTAATTTCATTACCCTGGTTAGGGGACATCACCTCGAAATTGGCCAAAAACCGTCTCTCTCTATATACCCAAAACAATAAATTAGTGATAAAAAATTTTTAAGAAATTTCCCTATCGCAGATTTTTAATCTAATTTCATTACCATGGTTAGGGGACATCACCTCGAAATTGGCCAAAAACAGGCACCCTCCATATACCCAAGAACGTAAAGGCGAAATGTTGCAATAATGTTGCTAATGAAATATTCGAACTTATATAGATAATGTTTTTGTTTCACTTGCTAATGAAATATTCGAATTTATATACAAAATGGTTTTGTCCCTTTTCAGCATGTATATTTAAGATTATGCATTACGCGGATATATTTGCAATAGTAACGCGTTTGTCCATGCACTTGCTTAAGAAGTTATATGTCTCGTGTTATTAAACCTGTATTCGTTAGGAACAAAATTAAGATGTTCACTTTTTTGCGTTAACATTTCCTCAACGAAATTCAAAACATGGTATCCACAAGACCAAGCATCTGCCTATAAAGTACCACTTTTCACCGTATCTAATCGCCAAAGTTTTCCCTCTTCTAACAAAGTCCATTCATTGGCTTCAGCACATTCATTATATTTACAAATAAATTTTGTTTTAAAATTTTCAAAGAAGCTATAGCCATCATCTTTTTGGAAAGGGTCATAAAATTCTATAAGCTTGCTTATTTGATTGATAATTGCCACACACCAATGATTCCCGTTTACATGGACAGGCATGATCATTGTACTCTTCATAGAAAAATCTAAACTGAGTGGAATATCGTGAGTAATACAATTGTGGGCAACATTAGCAGCTAAATACCCGACTTTCCCATTTTTTGCTAAAAGGTAACTTAGAATGTAACTTACTATTTCGTCACTCAACCATTTTTTCTTTGAGTCAGGAGAAGTATCTGTGAGAGATATATAATCTTTATATTTTAGATAAAATTTTTCTCGTTTTCCTACAAGGTAATTCGATAGTCTTTCCTGATATGGATACTATTTTACTAAAATACCTATAATCTTCAAATAAATTCTTTTCCTTATGTCGTATAGACGCACCCTCTTCTGGAATAGGAGAAAGAAGAGTCGGTGCTACTCTTGAATTTTTATTTGACATAACTGATTTAAAGGAGCTGTTGCTCGAATTCGGACTTAAACTCGAAACATGAAAAATTAGTATTGAAACTTTTTCCACTTTTCGAGGATTGAGGAGTAGCTAATGGAGATGTAAAACTATTTCGCTTTAAATTCAGAAAGTTACTAGTGCATAACATAATTAAAAAACTATTTTCTCTGTTACTGTATTTTCATTCCTTTCTAGCTTTTTATAACAAAAATTTAAATAAGTAATTATATTGCACTTGTTCCAGTGAAGCATGGGTCCATTGATAAGGGCTCTGCTGAAATCCGTAACAATTGTTGTGAAAAGAGGCCAACTGTCTTCTCTCTCAAACAATTGCTGGATTTTCATTAGACAGTTACCAAAGGAACCCGCACCATGCCTACTGGTTTTCCTTTCGGCTATCGGGTAATTTTTGCCTCGATGATTGCTTATAACCAAAGCGTAATAAAATATATAGTTCCTAACATCTGAAATGTTTCTTAAAGTAGACCCTGTCCCTTCTAAATGCCATACTAAACCTCCTTTACTAATTTTTTTGGCTATCGATGCCACCTTTACTTGGTTTCTCGAAAATAGCCCAACTTCGCACGGTTCGGCAAGATATTGGAAAAATTGGTGTGGTTGCGTTTTTTGCATATCGCTTTCTCAAATCCTCTAGGTCGTTGCTAGATAAATCATTCTCTCTAATAATTTCGCTTCTTATTTTCTTATAGATGCCCTCAGACTTAACTTCACCTACATTGTAGGCTTCCAAATCTTTATTATCTAATTTATTTAAACATTTATTGCTTGCCTCGCAATAAATGTTGCAGAAATCAACCAAGTCCCAAATTTGATGTAGCATCAACCCACTAAAAACTCTGGTCACAATTTTCCCTAGTAAGGATATTCATTTCAATGTAAGACGATGTTTAGATAGTAAACCATTTTAATTGTTTTCTTCTACTTTTGATTATACTGGAAAGCGAAATGAATTTTATGTAACTAAATTAACATAATTTGTAAATTTTACAATCCTTCGTCATTTATGAGTTTATAAAACAAATTGAAAAAAATCTGGAAACTGTAATGATTTACTCATAATAATTATATTGTAATTACTTTAGGTACAATATTGTATTTAAATAAAATAAGTTATAGGGCATAATCTTAGAATGTACGCCGTCATATCCAAAAGTCATAAACTGAATTCTTACCAATATAAATAATGAGAAAGAAAAAACAAGGCAGTTAAGCGCACGCACAAACGTAAACGAACATTTTTGCCATTGCTTATATTCTATTAGCCTACAGAAAGTTTGACGACAACTCAATACCATACATATAACTTCTTCAGCAAATGTATGAACAAACGAATACAGGTTTAATAACACGAGACATATAACTTCTTAAGCAAGTGTATGGACAAACGCGTTACTATTGCAAATATGTCCGCGTAATGCATAATCTTAAACATACTTGCTGAAAAGAGACAAAAACATTTTGTATATAAATTCGACTATTTCATTAGCAACATTATTGCAATATTTTGCCTTTATGTTCTCGGGTATATGGAGAGAGCCGGTTTTTGGCGAATGTCGAGGTGATGTCCCTTAACCAGGGTAATGAAATTAGATTTTTCTGATAGGTTTTAGCGTCCTTTAAAACATATAAAAAAACCGTACATGTCATATTTATTCAAAAATTTTTAATACACACTTTGTATATTGCAACTTTTCGCCAACGCTACGCATGCACTATAAGGTAAATACAAGAAAAAAATTTTTTTTAGTTTCTTTTAACATTTCTGTATAATTTCTTATATCATTTATGCTTGTATTCCTATTTTTGTTTAGTTTTTCTAATGATTTTGTAGTGTTCAATTATCAATTGCCTTAGCA